TCTCATTCTTCCTTCCTTGGTCAAGACAATTGGTATCCATTGGGTGGCTGCTTGCACTACACCGTAGGAGGTAGAACAGAAGCACTAAACGTGTTATTAGGCTAATTAATGGGATATCCCCTAAACCTCCAGTCCAGTGAATTACACTTCAGGAAGTATTTGGTTATACATAAGCAGACTCAGCTGGTCTCCTGGTGTGGTGCTATAGGATAAGCACTGGACTGTGAATCATAAAATTGGTAGTTCGAACCCACCAGCTGCTCTTAGGAAACCCTGTACAGGGTCGCTGTTCGTTGTAACTGACTTGACTGCACTTAGCAACAAAGCAACTTCAGTAGCTACTCCTTGTTCTTTCATTGTTGTGTAAGTGTATCTATTAGACAACTTTTGCCAGTTCACATTTTACACACATACAACCTATTGACAACAGTTGCAACATACAGCTGTACTTAATCAGTGCAATTTTTCCATCACCATTAACTGCCTCCCTCTTGCCCTGTCTCCTTCCCCTCATTACCACTTATAAACTAGGCTGTCTATACAGTTGCCTTTTCTGTATCTTTTTATGTAGTGAGGTTATAAAAGATTGGTCCTTTTTAATTGGTTTATTTTACTCAGCATAATTTCTTCCAGCTCCATCCATATTGTAGCGTGTATCAAGACTTCAGTTTTACTTCTGGCTAAGTAGTATTTCCTTGTATGTTATATACCACATTTTCTTTATCCATTCATGTGTTGATGGAAGTTGGGGGTATTTCCACCTTTTTGACTATTGTAAATATTGCTGCAAATACTGTTTTAGTCTGCTTTCAAGTGTTTTGGGTATAAACCTAAGAGCGGAATTTCTGAATCATGGTAGTTTTCCACCACGCAGTTGTCAATTTTTTGTACGGTGGTAGCTTGTGTGTTTCTATGGTTCTGGAAGTTATGCCACCAATAATGTAAATACCAACAGATTCACCCAAGGTGAACAGGTGTCAGCGGAGCTTTCAGACTAAGGCAGACTACTTCTGATTATTTAGCCACTGAAAAACCTGTGAATAGCAGCGGACCACTGTCAAATATAGCAACAAAAAATGGAAACATTATGAATGGCAGCAGGATATTGTCAGATACAGCGCCAGAAGATGAGCCCCTCAGGTTGGAAGGCACTTGTAAACGACTAGGGAAGAGCTGCCTCCTCAAAGTAGAGTTGATTATAATGACATGACCTTCATTTGCTAA